TTAATGCCAGGGCAACCATAAACAACCCCCAATCAACAAAACTAAAACTTACACACTGGCTGCATCTGAAATTGCATACTTCCCTAGTATATAGTCCATTAAAAACAGTAAGCAAGCCAAGTAGTAAAGTACAGTGTTTCTCAACTGGTGGGTCGTGACCCAAAAGTGGGTCGCGGGAACATTTTCAGTGGGTCGCGGAGTGTGTAGTCAAAAAAAACAACAAAAATTTAATTCTTTACTTATTTTGCTTATATCAGACTTTTATTTTGAAATCCGTGTGCGACAACTGAACTTTTTCTTACCCTAACCACTGTTTACAGTATTTGACGTTTTCACTCTGTAATATTACTATAATTTGATGCATTTGGTTAAATGACAGCAATAAAGTATTGTTTATTTGTAAGCCTTGGCGATTTTCTTATGATTTATCTGTCACTACTTGTTAACAAATAAATACAAATGAATTACAATTCCTAAAACTATATTATTGTTCCTAAACATTTGGGTCGCTGATGACTATGGACCTGATGACTATGTATAAATGTGGGTCCCATGGCCAAACTAGTTGAGAACCACTGGTATAGTATGTCCGAATTCATAGTGTTGGAAAAAAAGTATTCGAGAAGTACCTGCATGACCTACTACTGTTTTCGATGAGATTCTGAAGTGCGCATCCAATGGACGCTACGCCATCCCATGATGTTACATTAGAGAACTCATAAATGGGAGTGAAGTGATGCAACTGATACAGTTAGTATAGGCGGATACAGTACATCAGAATTCCATTCATGCTACTCACATTCACACAGTATAAAAAGCACTTTTCCAAAAGTAATGAAGTAAATTCATATTCATATACTGTCAATGGCCACTTTATTAGGTACAACTTACTAGTACTGGGTTGGACTTAGTAGTTGGGTTGTTTAGTTCTGGGTTGGTTGCCTTCAGAACTGCCTTAATCCTTTGTGGCATAGATTCAACAAGGTCCTGGAAATATTATGTGAACTCATTGTCATGTTCAAGAAACCAGTCTGAGATGATTCACGCTTTATGACGATGGGTTAAGAAGATGGGTACACTGTGGTCATAAAGGGATGGACATGGTCAGCAACAATACCTGAGGTAGGCTGTGGTGTTGACACGATGCTCAATTGGTACTACTGGACCCAAAGTGTGCCAAGAAATAACTTCCACACAATTACACCACCACCAGCAGCCTGAACTGTTCATACAAGGCAGGATGGATCCATGCTTTCATGTTGTTGATGCCAAATTCTGACCCGGCCATCTGAATGTGGCAGCAGAAATGGAGACTCATCAGAGCAGGCAACGTTTCTCCAATCTTCTATTGTTCAGTTTTGGTGAGTCTGTGTGAATTGTAGCCTCAGTTTCCTGTTCTTAGCTGACAGGAGCGGCACCCGGTGTGGTCTTCTGCTGCTGTAGCCCATCTGTCTACATGCCTAAATGCATTGAGTTGCTGCCATGTGATTGGCTGATTAGAAGTCTGCGTTAACGAGCAGATGGACAGGTGTACCTAATAAAGTGGCCAGTGAGTGTATATAGTACCTACTCAAGTAATAGACAATTTTAGATGCAGCCGAGGATTCAGGTCCTAAACTAGTGGTCACCAAACTTGTTCCTGGAGGGCCGGTGTGCTGCAGATTTTAGCTCCAACCCTAATCAAACACACCTGAACAAGCTAATCAAGGTCTTACTAGGTATACTTGATACATCCAGGCAGTTGTGTTGAAGCAAGTTGGAGCTAAAGCCTGCAGGGACACCGGCCCTCCAGGACCGAGATTGGTGATCCCTGTCCTAAACAGTTCTTATATCTTATATATTCACAACACAGAATTGCACAAAACACACACGTTTGCTCTATTTTTACACTGCAGACTTATTTTTGTCCTTGTACAGGTTGAGAAGACCACACTGAAAAGAGTCCCTCAGAATTTGTAAATGAATAACAGGAGAATATAGATTATGTAAGTGTGTAATGTGTCCCGTTCCCCCGCGAGTGGTGTGTTGGTGTTTCTGGATGCGGATGCTAAGGGGAGGAATAAACATCGCCCCGGCATGGCACTCTTCCACTACCCATAATGCATCGTGACAGTCAGGGTTTTTATGCTCTGCCTGGCGGTGATCTCTCAGTGGGTGGGGCTTACTCAGCTGCGCTTCACTGATTTGCCAGCTCAGGCGGTTCAGCTGTCAATCATGCAAATGGCCAAACACTTTGATGGGATGCAAGGCCCAGATAATGAACTGTGTGTTTGAGTGTGTGTTTGTGTGTGTGTGTGTGTGTCTGTGACATCATCTCCTCATGCCTCACGACTCATCCAAACACGCTTCTTAATTCTCCCAGTTCACAGGCCATCAGATCTGTATGTGTTAAGATTAAGAGATGATGACAAGAGCGAGGATTTTTAGAGATAGAGCCTTCCTGCTTGTGATGCTGTGAAAATGTAGATTATCTGGCTATATATCTGGCAATACAGCTAAAATACTGATGCAGTTTTAACTCATAATTTTGCAAATATTGAGTTATATTTTATTTTTTCATTTATGAAACATGATTTATTAGTTATATGTTAAGGTATTTTTATCTAAAGATAAAATCAGAAAAAAATTAGGCATGTAGACGTGGTCAAGACGATCTGCTGGAGTTCAAATCGAGCATCAGAATGGGAAAAAAGGGGATTTAAGTGAATTTTAACATGGCATGGTTGTTGATGCAAGACAGGCTGACCGTAGTATTTCAGAAACTGCCAATTAGAACCAATTGAGTACCTGCCTGTGTATTGCTGCTGACCATGTCCATCCCTTTACGACCACAGTGTACCCATCTTCTGATGGCTACTTCTAACAGGATAACACACCATGTCATAAAGCCTGAATCATCTCAGACTGGTTTCTTGAACATGACAATGAGTTCACTGTACTCAAAAGGTCGCCACAGTCACCAGAGCTCAATCCAATAGAGCACCTTTGGGATGTGGTGGAACGGGAGATTGGCATCATGGATGTGTAGCCGACAAATCTGCAGCAACTGCGTGATGCTACCATGTCTATAAGGAGCAAAATCTCTGAAGAATGATTCCAGTACCTTGTTGAATCTATACCATGAAGGATTAAGGCAGTTCTGATGACAAAAGAGGGTCCATTGCGGTACTTTAAAGGTGTACCTAATAAAGTGGCCAGTGAGTGTATATATGTGTGTGTGTGTGTGTATTATATATATATATATATATATATATATATATATATATATTCACCATGAATAAATGCAAATGTCATAATTTAGTTTTTTTTTTTATATAACAGATGCAGTTTTTTATTAAGTGTATGAAGTGAACGATAATTTATATTAAATAAAATCAAATCAGAATTAATGACAAAAAAGGACAAACACTTTTTAAACTAACATTGTCATAATAAGATTAAATTGATATTTTGACTTGTGACATTTTTGGGCACCACATCTTCAGTGTGCAGACTTTTTCTTCTTTGATTTATTTTAACTTTGTTTTTTTATGTTTTTAAAGTTTTTTTTTTTTTTTGTCTTTTTTTGCCCTGCATCAAAATCCTGTTTATCATCACTTATCTATTTTGTTTTTATTTTTCTGTTAATAATTCACCTGACTGTGATGTCCCTTGCAATTTAGATTTTTTTTCTTCACAGAAAAACAACAACATTCTGTTTGCCAGTTTCACTTTATTATCTTGTCAAATAAATATTTAATACATTAATAAGGGCTTCGGCCCTCCGGAAATTGAGTTTGACATCCCTGATCTAAAACATAAAATAATTTATCATTATATTTTGGGTGTATTTTACAATACATTTGAAATATATTTAAATGCAATTTATAATATTAAAATAATAAGTGTAAAGAGTTCAGTCCAATTCCTTTTCGTCATATCTGCCCTCACATGCTAAAACCACATTGTTGTTTTTTTTTCAGCGAAGAAAGCTATGAATGTTGTTTCTCATTCATTCATTAATTCATTCATTCATTCATTCATTCATTCATTCATTCATTCATTTTCTTTCAGCTTAGTCCGTTTGTTCCACAGCGGAATGAACCGCCAATTTATCCAGCTTATGTTTTACACAGCGGATTCTCTTCCAGCTGCAACCCAGTACAGGGAAACAACCATACACACTCATTCACACACACACACACACACACACACACACACACACACACACACACACACACACACACACACACACTCATACACTACTGCCAATTTCATTCATTCATGTTCCTTCAGCTTAGTCCCTTTATTCATCAGGGGTCGCCACA